CCCCCCTCCCTCCTCCCTCCTCCCCCACACCCCCTCCATCCTCCATCATCCTATATTCTCTCTCTCTTCCATCACCCTCTAGTGTCCTGCATCCTCCATCATCCTGTGCCCCCATCCATCCTTCATCATCATCTAGTGTCCTGCATCCTCCATCATCCTATACGCCCTCCCCACCTCCACCACCCTACATATGTCCTCTGCCCTCTTCATCCCACACGCCCTGGTCCCCCTCCACCATCCTGCCCTCCCTCTCCATCAGCTGTCTTCCTCTGCATGTTCTGCTGTTTCCAACTTCTGAAGGCATGGGCCGGTCAGGGTATCATGGATTTTGGAGTTGCCAGTGTTGTATCTAAATCAGTGAATTGATATTTGCTTTTTATTACTTTATTTTCATTTTTTTTACTGATAGACCTAAATTATACATGTTTATGATGTATAGTGAAATAATTTATTTTATTTTTTGGGTCCGGTCGTGGGGCCTCAGCTCTTCAGCTCAAGGCGAGCACTCTACCACTTGAGCCACAGTGTCACTTCTGGCTTTTTGCTTATATGGTGCTGAGGAATTGAACCCAGGGCCTCAGGCATGCAAGACAAGCGCTCTACCACTGAGCCAACTTCCCAGCCCCAATGTATAGTGAAATAATATAATATGAACAGTGTGTATGGACCAAATCAAGGTAACCCAAATCCTCCCTCCGTCCCTCCCTCCATGCCCCCTCTCTCTCTTCCTTCTCTGAAGTTGTCCCCCACCCCTACCCCGTCAAACCCAAGGCCTTGTGCATGCGAAGCAAGTGTCTTACGTGGAGTTACCTCTCCATCCCGCGTTGTTTCCTTGTATCTGAGATCATTAAGCTTGTCCAGTTCTTTGCAGAAAACTTGTTGTGAAGCACATACGTCGCTGTAGAGCACGGCAGCACATCCCTCCTTCCAAACTCTTAGAACCTGTCGTCTGGCCTCTCCCGACTCCACCATCCTCCTAGCTTCTGCTAGCCACTGTTTACAGTATTTGTTGGATTTTTGAGATTTCTTTTTGTCAGTCATGGGGCCTGAACTCTGGGCCTGGGCACTGTCCCTCAGCTCTTCAGCTGTAGACTAGCGCTCTACCACTTGAGCCACAGCGCCACTTCCTGCTTTTACTGCTTATGTGGTGCTGAGGAATCGAACCCAGGGCCTCATGCATGCAAGGCAAGCACTCTACCACTGAGCCACCTTCCCAACCCCTACTTGTTGATTTTTAAAAAATTTTCTGTCACTGCTATGCAGCGCAGGGCTGGTTTTAAAAGAACCATCTGGACTCCATAGTAACAGAACAGGTGTGTGTGTGGGGATGTCCTGGAGCTGGTGTTCCATAGGCTTCTGGAACAGTTCATGGAGGCAGACAGAAAAGGTTGTCAGGAGGAATCAGCCATGCCTCCAGGGGCCTCCAGGGGGCGTGGCCACCCTTGCCACTCACCCTTCAATCTAGAAAGTTTGCAAAGGGGGCACTTATGTGTCAAGGGGGCACAAGTCCAGGAACAAATATTAGGTGGGCAAAGGCAGTGTTGGTTGTGGGTGAATGAAGGGCTGGGAATTGGAGAGGAACTGAGCACCAGCTTGGCCATGTCTTGAGGTTGATGCAACCAGGGATCTTTTCCTGTGCTGCAAGGCAACCAGCTGGGAAAGGCAAATATGACCAAGAGGCATTGTCACCTGTGATGCAATGGTGTGCCTGGGCAGACATGTTCCGTGACACCATGTCTAGGAAAACATTGTTATAATTAGATACAAAATGGGTATCCCCCTGTCTCAAGCATCTGTGAAATGCTGTCCTTTCCCAGACAACAGGGGCGAAGGCATAATAGAGACTAGAACTCAGATCCTTGAACTTGAGATGTCTCCTACACCTGGAGAGGGTGTGTGTGTTTTGTGTGTGTGTGTGTGTGTGTGTGTTGCTAGGAATAACCAGGACCTTGGTACTTCTTGGTACATCCTCTGTCGCTGAACTACACACCCAGCCAAAGCAAGGTGCTTGATTTTACTCCTGGGCAACTGACTTTGGAGAGTGTAGTGGAATGTATATCAGAAAGAGCTGTAGAAGAACCAAAGGAAAAGTCTATGCTCATGTTGAAGTCTCACCTCAGAAAATTCCGGGCCCCACTGGCACCTTGAAATATAGTTTTTGAGGAGAATATGTGTATATGGTTAGATGTTGGGTGTCCTCTTGCAGAGGAATTAGCATTTCATATTGTTTTGTTTAGTTAAAGAACCTATGAGTTATAGATGCAGGGCAGAACACGAGACCTGCTCTCTGAGTGCTTGCTCACCTCTCTTCTTCGGACAGTTACTTATTACTTGATTCTTATTCTTGGATTTTGCTGTGGTAGGGATCAAACTCAGGGTCTCTTGTGTGCTCAGCACACGGCAGACCAACTCAGCCATGCAGCTGAAGCTCACCAGAGGCCCTGGGGGAGTGAGCTCTGGGTGCTGACATCAGAGGCTCCCACAGATTCTCAGCCGGGAGCTCCAGCGGCCCATAGAGGGGTCAGGTGGGCCCAGGGCCAGTCCGTTTCCATCCTCAGGGGCAGGCCAGTGCTCTTCCCAAAGTCAGCTGGCCATCTTCATCACTGGTGTCTGTCTGTGCCTCTGGCTCACCTGTGATTTCCACATAAGAGGAAGTGCCTGGCATTGCTTGGAAGTCTTAAAGAAGGTCCTGTTATTGTTATATAAACAACTACAGAGGTGGCTTAGTTTAGTTCAGCGAGTTTTTCACTTTTTTCTAGCTGGAGAAGCTGTGTGTGAAGTCAGCCCTCTGTGGACCCCACATTAGGAACACAGCTGTACAAAGGAGCTTCAGTTCAGCACAGTGTATCTGGACCCGTGTCCTCCTTCCTCCTCTCCACCTCTCCCAACCCCACCCATCCCCTCAATCCTCCCAGCTCCAATTCCACATATGTACGCTAAATATTACCACTGCATTCTCCTACACTTCCTCTCTTCATTCTTTTACCCTCTCCACTTGCCCTCCCCCACCTCCTCCACCCAGAATCAGCTTCCTGGTATTAATTTTGTTAGATTCAATGCTGGTTGTCCAGAGATTGTCTCCCCTGCATATTCCTGCTTGAGTCACATATGCATGTGACTCTGTGTCTACAAATATATTTACAAATCAGATAGATATAACTTCCATGTAGGAGAGAAAACCTGAGTCCTTTGATCTGACTCATCTCAATATAATTGATTCCAGGTCCATCTGCTTCTCTGCAAATTACATCTGTATCTATGTAACTGTCTTTATATATATCTAGATAGCTATAACATTTTTTGATCCATTTATTCATTGAAAGACATCAAGCAAAGAGCATGATTGTGCAAGTAGTTTTACCGTATCTTGATGTGTAGTCTTTTGGATAAATGCCCAAGGGTGGATTTGGTGGATGGTAGGGTGGTTCTGTTTAGCTTTTGGAGGAATTCCATACTGCCTTCCATCATGGTTGAATTAGTTTATATTCCCACCAACAATGTATCAGGGTTCATTTCCCCCCATATACACTCCAGCGTGTTTTATTTTTGATGATGGCCATTCTAACTGGGGTGAGATGGAATCTCAGAGTTTTGACTGAGATGTTGGAAGGTAAGAGTCTTATGACTTTTCTTCCTGGGTGGCTTTGAACGGTACCCTCCGATCTTAGCCTTCTGAGTAGCTGGGATTACAGATGTGAGCCACTAGTGCTCAGCTACAATCAAGAGGCAATTTTTCAAAACCATGACTCTTTGAGCGACCTGAGCACAAAGCCTGGTTTTCCTAGACTCCTGGTCAAAGGCGAAGAAGAGATGAGGGCATGGGCAAGGGTGCTGTGGCCATCTCTGCCAGATCATTATGCTCGGATTTCATCAGTGGTTTATGTTTCTCTGGAATGTCTACTGAATCACTGCCATGCTTCAATGACATCAGCAACCTATTAGAATTGCTTCCAATGCTTTTATTACTAGAACAACATTTACAAGGTATGTTTTCCAGCATTTTATAAATACATTATAATAAATAGAATATAAATAAATATAAATTAGTTAACATTTTCCTGAATAAAATAAATACTGATAAATAATAGGGAGTGTCTGTTTCCATGAATACTTTGGTACAGAATAGCTCATCAAATATAGCTCTACCAGACACTGCAGGGAGGGCTGTCCTCTCAGGAAGAGCTCAGGTAGCTCATCACTCTGTCGATAGTAACTGCACGGACTCTAAAGGCATGGAGAAGGATGCAAAGCTGCATTCTTATCCTGTACAAATCTGGCTCTTCAGAGGAAGGTTGGTGTGGCACTGTCTCGCTCTTGGAATTCAGAGCCTGAAAGAAGAAATAATGATTGTCTGTATAGTATGTAGAGTACTTCCTCATTAATAATGGGCGAAGCCAGTGCCCGCCTCAGAAACTGCAGCATACCCTACCTGCAGGCTCCCAAACTCACTCCACATCTACCCCCAGCAGAGGTGAAAGCCTCATTTCTCCATGTATCCTTGGTGAGCTCCAAAAGGCCATTTAGAATATTGCCAGGTGCCAGTGGCTCATACCTGTAATCCCAGCTACTCACTAGGCTGGGATCTGAGGATCACAGAAGTCAGAACAGGCAGGAAAAGTCTACGGGACTCTGATCTCCAATTAACTTACTAAACAAGCCGAAAATGGAGCTGTGGCTCAAAGTGGTGCTAGCCTTGACCATAAAAGCTCAGAGGCAATGCCTAGCTCTGAGTTCAAGTCCCAGTATTGTCACACTACCCTCCATGGCCCTACCCACAAATGAAGACTATCACCAACAGGAGTTCTATTGTGGAGAGGCACAATTCTATAATTCTGTTGATACCAACTGCGGTATCTAGTTAATTTTTTATACGTTGCATCCAGAAGCCCTGTAGGTTTCGAAGCAGGACGGTAGGGGACCGCTCTGGTCTGTCGAGGAGTAAACAGACCTGTTCACTATGGAAACACCAATTGTGGAAGATGACTCTCTGGCAATGGATCTCCCAATTTTAGCCCCTTGATTTGCTAATGCAGCATGAGATTTTATGTTAGATGATAGCTGGAGAGTCTCTACTCTCATTCACGCTTCAGAAAAAACCTAAGAGACTTGGAGGGTGTGTGCAGCCTTTTTTGCTTTACAGACGGCAAATGGAGCCAGGAGGTGTTAACTGACTCCCCACAGCACTGACCCCACCGTTCAAATCACCGGACAGCGGACAGCACATAGGTCCCAGTACGATATGCATTCTTTGATGTTTGCATGAAGTTCACGGCCTTTCAGACAATGACTCTGGCACACACAAAATGATGTGAAAGGGACGAAAAAGAATAAAATCCCAAAAAGGAAGCTGTTACATTTCAATGATTTCTGATAGTGTCTTTCTACCCTGTGCCTAGTGGGCAGAGCGCTCAGCTGTCTTTCTCTGTGCACACTTCCATGTCTCTACCTGTCATGGTGACCTGGAAAACAATACAGCTGTTCCCCCAGTGAGCAACGCCAGAGATGGCCTGGCCTTTGGTTCATTCACACTGCATTCAACACGAGCAGCACCGGCCCCATGTGAGTATGCACACACCACCCCCTTGCATTCCCATCCGACTCCTGCAGCCTCACTGAGCACACAGTGCTGCGGAAGCCTGCTGGGAGGGATCCTGGCTCTGCCTCTGGTTGGCCGTGTGATCATGGATGAGTGGTCTCGTGCTCTTATGATTCCTCAATACATATCTCTTTGGCTTGTAGGATGACATTTAACAAATGCATGGAAATCTGGGCTCCAGGGGCTCATGTCTGCCAGCCTAGCTACAGTGAGGCTGAGATTGGGAGAATCGTGGTTTAAGGCCAGCTCTGACAGAGTTCCACCACAGCTGAGCACAGTGGCCCACACCTAGAAGGAGGCTAGCATGGGGAGGATTGGGGTTCTCTGCTAGCCCTGGAAGAAAAATCCACGCATTGAGACTCGGTCTCAGTGGAAGCAGCTGGTGTGCTGGTGCATGGTTGTCATTCCAGCCGCAGTGGCAAGTCTAAAACAGGAGGATCAAGGTCCCAGGTATGCACCCAGGATGAAAGAGACACCCCATCTCAAAAATAACCAGTGCAAATAAGGACTGGAGGTGTGACTCGACAGTATACCACCTGGCTAGCAAGCACAAGACCCTGAGCGCAAACCCTAGTACTGCATGAAAAAGAAAAAGAAGACATGAAAACATCTGCAGAAGCCTGGCACATGCCCAGGGCCACCACCAGTGGCTGTTTCTCCACCTACAAACAGTGCTCCAGGACTGTCCCCGTGCAGATCTCTCTCCTCAAGGCCTTCCCAGGGATTTCAGGCCACTCTCAATCCAGTGAGAGCTGAATTTATCCCGCCTCTTCCCGGTCCCTGGCCAGCCATCCCCAACGTGAAGACGATGCCCTCACAGGCCGCCTGAGGCCTTACCTGCATCAGGGCATCAATAGCTGTTAGCATGTCTTTATCTAGAGTGATCTCACTTGTGGGATCCATCAATAGTATTGCATTCATGGCCTTGAACTCCCCCTGGTACATTTTCAAGTCCTCATAGATACTGCTGAGGCACAGGGTCTGGGTTACAGGACAGAAAGAGAAGGAAACCATTATGAGGGGCTCCGGGTTCCGGGCATTTCCTCCACTGCAACTAAGAGCAGCATCTTACCATCATCGGCTCTGGAGAAGGCTCTGTAGAGGCTAGGCAACTCCCCGTCTGGAAGAGAGAAAAACACAGCCATCAGTAGAATGCAGGTTCTTACCAGGAGGGGCTGTTAAGTTTTTCACTTACAGTCAGGACAGATGTTTCTCTAGAAACCAGGCAGCTCTTGTTCTGGAGGGGAAAAAAATACATGAATTATGTGTTTGTGTGCTGTTCCCAGGACTTGAACTCAGGGCCTGGGCACTGTCCCTTAGTTTTCCATTCGAGACTGGTACTCTACCACTTGAGCTATAGCTCTACTCTGGCCTTCTCTGGTGGTTAATTGTAGCTACTGTAGTCCCTTCCTGCCTGGGCTGGCGTTGCCCCTCAATCTTCACATCTCAGCCTCTTGAGGAGCTGGGATTACAGGTGTAAGCCACCAGTGTCCAGCTTCAAAGACATGAATTCTTAATACAAATTTTCCCAAAGTTACACCATGAACGTTATGGCAAAAATTCATAACACATAATCTTCATATTTTGAAGTATATACTCCCACATCTTCATATTTTGAAGTATATATTCAGGGGAGTCACCTCTACTTACATTGTTGTTATAGTGTTTACTTCCAAACCTTGGCTTTTTCTTTTCTTTTTTTTTTAAATATATACTCACTTGACAAAGGGTTTACATCATGGTCTTTCACTCATATGTGTGTGTGTATATATATATAAATATATTTATACATTTATTATATATTTATAATTATGCATGTATGTATATACATGTATATATATGGGCCCCTCTCTCCCTTTTCCCTGTGTTCTCCCCTTCCCTACTATTTTTTTTGACAGCTTTTAGTAGCTCAGATCTGTGTTCTGAAGGGAACAGGGCAGGGCAGAGTCTGGTGTGCAGCGTGTGATTCTACCTTGGCCAGCTCCAGGGGCACGCAGGCCTCCACCGTGCTTGTTCTGTCTTTTGTGATATCTACATGACCAATCTTTTCCGCAGTGCAAGAGTAATGTTCCAGGGTCTGTCTGGCCTGTGAAGACACAAAGAGAAGCTTAGCTGATGCTGAGAAGGCACGGGTCTCCCGTGGGGCTGGTCCCCCGTGGGGTGGTCCCTTGGCTTTCGACTCCATCTCTGACCTGCAGGGAATTCAGGCTTTTCTACAGAGCATCCATTTAGCTGGGAGGGTCTACATATGGAAACACACAACTTATTTCTGCTGGGTTCCTATGGTGAGCTCCTTCTTAATTAAGATTGACTGAAGCTGGGTGCTGGTGCTCACGGCTGTAATCCTAGCTACTCAGGAGGCTGGGTTCTGAGTTTTAAAGGCTTAAAACCAGCCCGGGGAAGGAAAGTCCACAAGATCCTTCACTCCAATGAACTGCCAAAATATCTGGACGTGAAGCTATGGCTTCAGTGGTTGAGCGCAAGCCTTGAGCACAAAAACTCAGGGACAGCGCCTAGGCCCCAAGCTCAAGCCCCAGGACTGTTCCCCCTTCTCACAAAAAGACTGATATGTGAGGAGCAGTTGGCAGTGATTCCTGAAAGACTGTAAAGGAAGAAAAGAATTCTCCTGAAGTCTTCCTCAACATTGAGCTTATTTTAAGCTATTTAAAAGGTGATGAGCTAGAAAATTAGGAAGGAAGACTTTTCCACAGAGCTAGCTGTAGGTGGCTCACGCCTGTAAACCTAGCTCCTTAGGAGGCTGAGATCCCAAGATCATGATTCAAAGCCAGCCCACACAGAAAAGACTTCAGGATTCTTTTTTTTTGGGGGGGGTGGAGTTAATCTGGTCATGGGACCTGAACTCTGGGCCTGGGCACTGTCCCTCAGCTCTTCAGCTCAAGGCCAGCGCTCTATCATTTGAGCCACAGTGCCACTTCCGGCTTTTTTTCTTTTTGCTTATGTGGTGCTGGGGAATCGAACCCAGGGCCTCATGCATGCAAGGCAAGCGCTCTACCACTGAGCTACCTTCCCAGCCCCACTTCAGAATTCTTATCTCCAGTGAATCTGCAAAATCACACCACAGCTCGAGTGGCTCAAGTGATTAAGTGTCAGCTGGGAATGGGAAAAGCCTAGCAAGGACACTGGGACCTTGGTTCAAGCCCCGGTACTAGCATTATAAAGAAAAAAAAGAGGGAAGGAAGGCCAAAGAGTTTATCTGCCTCCCCTCCTCCCCTGCCCCCCCCCCTGTTCTTGGGATCAGGCACAGACCCTCACACACCTAGGATATCTTTCAGGACATTGATTTTTGCTATAGCTCTTCAGTAAAAGCAAGAGCTAATTGGAAAAGGTTG